AACGAACCAACTCACACTGAGCACGCATCCTTCTCCCTACTAACAACATATCTCCCAGAAACCTCCTCCATCACTCCGGACCAAGCAGCGAACCAGGCCAATGCTCTACTCCCTTCCCACCGCCTGGGTCCAAAAGAGGAAAAGAGTCGACAGCCAGTTTTTTCTCTGAATTCTGGGAGTTGATGTTTCGCATCGTGCCACAGTTGGATTACCGACATGAGACAATGCAGCATTTCATTGCTCTTGTCAAAGCACTAAGAAATTTGCCCGAGACGATTGTTATTCGGGATGAGGGAAATTACGATGGTCAGCCTGTATGGCGAGATAGTCTTTATTTCGGACCGATGCTGCCTGAGCGGTGGAACCGTATGTCATTCCCTGCATATCAAAACATGGTGCTCTTGCAATGTTAATTGAAAAATCAGAAATCCCTGAAAACAAACCCCCGGAGGATCTTTACGCTTTCCGCTGGCAAAACATGAACGGCCTCCTAGCCCACTTCACCAACCATGACCTCTGCACCAACGCCTTCCGCGCCCTTGCCTGCATAATCAAGGCCCTTGAGGAATTCCAGAGGAAGAAACCCAAGACTCCGATTAACCGTCGTGTGCCCGCTGCTACCATCTGGTTTGTTCTTTGTCCATCCATGATCTACGAGGCTTGTCAGCGGCGGGAATGTGCGGATCACGAGGTGTCTGGGTGGCTTTGGAAGGGCGAGCCGCAGTAGGGGTACTAGATTGCTCGGTGAGGCTTCTGGAAAAAGAGGTTTGAGGAGGTACAACGTCATTCGGATACTACCGAGGAAACTAAAGAGGCTTGCAGAGCTGCTATAGAGGGGATGGATAGGTGTGTGGCTCGTGTTGATTGACTTTAGCCTGTACTATACTATCCTAAAATATGAGATCGACAATGATTTCTTTCTCAGGTTTCAATTATTGTGCTCTATTCTTTGCACTCTTGAATGATTGCCACAGTGGATTTGTCAGGAGACTCTCTAGCCTAGAACAGTGCGCTTGAAATGTGTACAAGTGAATCCCTAAATTCTAGATAAAGAGACTAGCCTATATTTAACCTATCTTCCGAGGTACCAGAACAGGTGCTACGGTGTAAACAACAGTAACGTAATCCACAAGTGGGCGTTCCGCTCAAGCGAGCGTTCCGCCTCCTGGCCGTGATATAAAGCCAGAGTCAATTATTCAATGGGAAATGCATTTATTCTATTAAACTAATGTCTATTGCGATTAGGGCATGGCAGCCGCCTATATCCAATAATATGGCAATCACCGCAGCGTGGTGGTGCTGTGACGGCTCAATGGTTCAAAGCCGCCTTAGTAACTGATATCTACGAACGCTGTATCTGGGCAAGCAAACAGAGAGAGTACTAGCGCGGCGACACCACCCAGATAAAACCCCTTTCCTCCTGTAGATAGATTCCCTTTCTTCTTTCCTCCCCAGCTTCGATATTCTTGTCAATGGCTACAATAGTCTAGATAGGAATTCAATCCTTTAATAGCTACCATTCTGAGCCCGTGACACAGGCAACCATTTTGTATAGAGATTAAATAGTTAGTTATGTATACATACAATAATAGATGGATTCATAGGTTATTTTCCATAAAGCTATGAATTTTTCTCCTTTCTATCTTTAACGCAAAGAATTTTATGCTGAATCAATTCCTGGAAATGAAGCGGCTATTTTCGACGGAAAATCCTAGACAACATCTCCCGTTTGCGGCGTCTTGAACATTTGAATAATGTATTTAATTCCTCTGCAATTCGTTGGGTCTTCTGGTGATCTGGACCCAGTGCGCTTTCATAGCCTGCCAATGTTCGGTAATACATTTCCTCTGCCTCCTTCAGCTTGCCCTGGTCAGGGTAGAGAAGACCAAGGTTATGGACTGTACCAAGGATGGATATGTGATCCGGACCCATTTCCTTTTCATAACCTGCCAGTGCTCGACAGTACATCTCTACCTCCTTCAGACTACCCTGGTAATAGTAAAACCCCCCTAAACGATGAAATGCTCCCTATACCGCAAGATTCTCTCTTGAGACATCTCTAAAACGTACATGATTTGCATGTGGAATAAGCCGCCGCTGGATCTCCATATTATCTCTCTAATCTTGTCCAGGAACTGTATATCTAGCAGGTATCAGAGCTAGTTCTTTCAATCGAACTAAATTCGTATTTTTTCTTGAGCTAGCAATGTGAAGACACCAGTCCTGTATAACTGGATGTATTGCATAGCTTCCCTCTTGCTGCTGCTTAGTCTCAACGAAGGAGAATCCAATGAGAATCTTCATACTAATTTTAAAAGTGAGTTCAGAGGATATAATACTATTAAACCAGGCTAGGGTATTTGAGCTATGAGAAGCACTTTTTGCTAACCCATACCAAATGTCTCGGCCATCCAAGTGCGCAAGTAGGAGTAAAATCTCTGCTGCATTTGGGTCTCGCTTTTGAATCTCATAATATGAGATCATCCATGTTTGGAGCAGGTTACCTTGTTGGTACTGACGTCCAGGGCTCGATTGCGACTATAGGTCGTACCAAGACTCTTCATAATACTGCAGATACCCCGTGATGCTGGTTCCTGTTGCATGGAGAATGCCCTTGCGATGACAATTGCCAGTGGCAGCCCATCTAGACGGTTGGTAAGGGCAAGGGTATCTATATGTATTAATATCACTTCTTAAACTCATGTATAGTGACAACGTACCTGGATCACTTTCAGTATTCTTTATGATATGACTGACAGAGTTTCCACTGCTCTGTAAAAATAGCTAAATTGAATCTTTAGACCCAAGTCTGTGGACTGGGAAGGATTTTCAAGACCAGTTAACCTCTGGAGTCGGGAGGTGATGAAAATGGAACCATGGTCTGCCGTGGGAAAGAATCCACTGATATCATATCCATCGCAAGCATTAATGCTATTAAGAAAGTACTGATCAATATTATCAAAAAACAATTAGCCAGTGTGGGTTTCCCTCTAATGCTAGCCATTGTAAGACATGCCTAACTCTTTGCTCCACTTCCTCTCCATTAATCACTTTAATATTATGGGATTTTCCTTGTAATCGGGGCAAGACGGAGATCAAAAATTGCAATAGCGTGCCCCGATTTTTGCCGCTCAGCCAAAATATGGCAGTAAAATCATTCTTGTGATCTCGAGCAAAGCGGATTGCCAGCTGCGTCTTTCCTATTCCGCCAAGGCCATGGAGAATGGCTACCTTTCGTGAATGAGAATTTACTGGCTGTAAATGATGCCATAGGCGTTGTAGCTCGTCTTGCCGTCCCAAGTAATTCTCAATTACAGGCACCGCAGTGAGGTCTAGTGGAACGTGAAACCAACTCGCTAGAAGCACATATATTTGTTAATACAAAAACTGTTATATTCCAAATAAAGAAAAGGAAATAGAATTAGGAAAATATACCAGAGTCTGACATGCTATCCTGCACAGTCTGTGTTTCTTCAATATGGCCAACTGAGGTCACCGAAAGAAGCTCTTTGGCATATGCTGCTGCAACTCCGCTGCATATCCCTGAAACTCTTTATTTTTGTGGGAGTCTGCATAATTACAGATTCCACACACAACTAGACATGGGTAATCATTCATTAATCCTGCTGCTTCCATCCCCACGCAATATACACCTAGTTCACGACCAAGCTTATCCCGTAGTTGACTGTCTTTCACCACTTGATTAGCAGACGCAATCAGCCCATAGTGAATAACAGGACCACTATGGTTTTGGAAAGACTGGGAAACAGTTTTAGCTTTACCACAGTCATCACAAGTCTTGAAGTGGATCTTGATGTGATTATAATCACTCAGGTACAAATGGTCTGTCTGAGCAGGACGAGCAAAATTGGCAACTCGTTTGGGTATTTTGCGCTTGATCTCAGCAAGGAAATATGAAACTTGGCTCTCTTCTGTAAGATGAATTGCTTGTAGTTTGGTGAGTGCTGTTAAGAGAATCTGAGGTGGACGATTAAGCATGCCTGTCCACTGGAAATCGCCGCCATTCAATGCTTTGCCATAGTCATACTGCACCACTCCACCATGTGAATTCGGCTTGCTGACCACAAAATCACCGAGTCGAATATCCGAGTTCCTATTCGGCACCCCTCCTCCGATGCCGACCATCAGACCAAAGCGAATTGAGTGGAGACTGGACAATAACTGCATGGCGACAGTGGTGGCAGATGCAATGCCATATTCACCGCTTGGCAGACATGCAACTATGAAATTGTGTTTCGCAATGCTCCCAAGAATATAAGCATTATGTCGTTCGGTTGAACAGGTAAGTCTTCGTGGATCTCATCGAGCATGGCTTTCGCAGCAGCCATCTCCAGCGGTAACGCGCAGATCCATCTAACCATGTAATCCGCATGAGAAAGAGGGGTCCTGGCTGCCATGATACACTGTATTTATTGAGTTCTTGCGTTGGAGTATCTAGGTCTACAATAAGAGAAATATGAAAGACATGAAAAAGGTCACGGTTTAGGAATCGATCCTGGAGTTATTCAGGAGAGGAAAGATTGAGAAATCAGGCTGACACAAGGCTTTCCACGGCGGTGCTTGGGCATAATATCACGCCCACACATTTTCATAGACATGACAAAGATCAATTTCTATTGGATGGAGTTGCTCGAACAGAAACTTCATCTGTTCAATTACGCAAAGGCGCCACGGAACAGTTGTGCGAGGTTCCAATCGAGGGAGGCTAGCATTGGAATGTCAACACCAAGCCGGACTCATGTCATTGTAATAAAGAGCAATCCAAGCAATTCTCAGTGATTGTTGACGAACCTCTATTCTGGTTTTAGACCGTGACATTTCCCATGGGACCAGTCCCAACGGGAATTCCCATTCCCGTCCATAGTCATAGTGGGAAATGGGACTAATAGTTAGTCCCATTGGGTGGAACTTGGTACCCCATGGAACTTCCATGGGAAAACGGGAATGGGAAATGGGACCGAAAATATTTTAGTTCCATGGGAGTTGCCGCGGTCTATCTGGTTTACAAGCGTTTTGTGTTCTTTACGATGTACAGTATATGGTCAAACTACAGTATGTCTTAGCTGTTTAAATAAGGTATACTGCTTACCTTATATGGCTATGTGACGCACTAGCATCAGTATAAAGTCTTTATAGCAACATTGGTCACTACACTACACTGCTTGATGCGCGTACATTAGTCATGCTTACCTGGACAGAACAAAAGAATCAAAAAATATACAAGCAATACAATGCCAGTTTCTCTAGATGACGATTGGTTGAAGATCTGTCGCGGTCAGCGAGTCATAGTCTGTTCTATTCATAGAAGCTGACAACCCGGACTAGTGATATTATTTGCTCCGTCATGCTCTGTCTCAAACCCAACTGAACCATGACCAAGGGCGCTTTTTCTGTCGTTAAATATCCTTCCCATTGATTTCTTAACCAGAATACCCATGAGAGTTTTGTTCTCTTTGTCGCTGTTGATCATTTTGGCTCTGAGCTGCTGCTCTTTCTGGTCTAATTCTTCTCGTTGGAGCTGCACGGCTCTAAGCTCGTGAGCGTGATTATCTTCAAGGGCATTCTTGATCAGCTCCATTGCCTGTATCTGGTTTTGTATGTCGAAGTAAAGGTCCTCTAATTGTGATGTGCGTAAGGTATCTTGCAAAGCTTCTGCCAGCCTCTTAGCTGCGAGGACCAGCAAATTAACGCTCCTTGCTGTGATTGGCAGCCGGTGGACTGCTGTATGTCGAATTTGGCGAATTGTAGATAGGAGTGTGTTTAACTGTGAGCCCCTCAATTGCAAAGATCCATCAGGAAGTTGTGGTGACCACTTTGCTAAAAACTTCGTCCACTCTGTGAGCTCCATAGCCGCGGCACAGTCCCATTCGTGGTTTTCGACTTCAGAAGGTAACCATTTCTTTGTAAAATCAAAACAGCATTCTTCTAGAGCTTGTTGGATGCCTGATAAGACAGAATGCTGAGCATTGTATGGAAAATATGATGGATAGCGAGAAGGCATGGGTGATCTCGGCTCTAACGCAGATCCAGGTGCTGTCTAAATGTTAGTAATGGAGGAGTAGTAATGGAGGCTCATCTCAGAAACTCATTTGCTTACATAAAGTAGTGTCTCCCTCAATTTGAACCTGTGCTTCATCAGGGGCTTGTAGCTCAGCAGACAGCGGCACTGGGGGGTCCTGTGTCCTTTCACTGTCTTTCTCGTGAGCAACTGTATTTTTTTCAAGTATTTCTGCTGCTGAACAGGCTGTCTCAGTTTCAAAGGCATTGCCTTTGGCCTTCTTGGCGGGGGAGGGAGTAACTAGATCAGGAAATTCCGCCTTAGCCTTAATGTCTGATTGGAACACTTGCTCTTTTAAGAGAACTTGAACAATATTTGTAACTCTGTTGACCTCAAAGTTGGGGATTGAAGTATTGAGTGCAGCTTGGTGCTCTGTGATGCATTTCTGTATGGCCTTCGATCTTCGAAGCAAGGCATTAGGACCTGTGAAGATTGCCTTGCATGCGAGGAAGATCTGACGCTTTTCAGCTGCGGAACATGTCATGATGAAAAAGGTGGACAGAAGGAGTATATTTTCAGAAAATAAAGTAAAATAAAAGAAAGCTACTACGGCTGGTGATGACTAGGAGAATAAAATAAGTGTTGCAATTGTTACGACTTTGGTGTTGATCGCGTTTGATCTCTTTGTCTTCTTTGATATAGGGCTCCAGCCCCAGGACACACAGTAGATAGCTCGCACCAGGTAAATCCTACCTTTATCCTTCATTGCTTATGCTAGCATTCCAGAAGAATCTATCAATGCCACATCCCTGGTTGAGATGTCACAGTGGACAGGTTTCTACTGGAAGGCTGAATTAACGGGTCTTCATATCAAATTGTAAGGTCTTCCCCAGCAACTTCCAAAGTTTAAGCTACAAACCCGCCATTTATAGAACCCAATGTTAATGATAATAATAGCAATATGTGCATCAATAGACTCTTTTGTCTGTCCCTTTTATTCCGCCCAGTTGCTGCTCCCTGATCAGCCAGCCGCTTTTGATGCATGTGGATGGTTGATTCTCATTGGACTGGGTGCCTATCAGCTAATGCTATCTATACAGCGTAAAAGGTACGCGGCATCGGAAAAATTTCTTTTGTTCAGAATATCGTTGTGGGATGATGGAGGTGTCTGCAGGGAAGCGAATGTCTTTTGGACCATGTCGATCCGCCGCGATGCCAGAGGTGTTGCAGAAGAATCGGGGACAGCCGTGATACCTCCGCAGTTTTAATCAATTGACTTTCTACTACCGTACATGGCAGCTATATATGTGATTTATGCATGTTGCTGACAGGAACATGGAGTTAAGGTTTATCTCCGCTTCCATAATATATATATCGTTCGATTTTTCACCAGCTACCAGTGCCTAGTTCAATAAATAAACCTTGCTCACATTACCGCGTTTATCTCTGTAACTCTGGTAGTATTCTTTCGCCTTCACCATGGTCAATGTTGCGATTGCAGGAGGGACCGGGGGCGTTGGCCGCACCATTTTTGAAGTATTGAGTGATTCCTCGGAACATAAGACATTTGTTCTTTCACGAAAGGTTAGTGTTCAATTGAGTGATGAGTGTAGTAGACGATTGGCCTAATTCTATTACAGTCGTTGAGTGAAGACCATTTTCTCACAGTCGACTACTCCGACATTGACCGATTGGTCTCTGTTTTGGAAGCAAACGATATCAATACAATAATTTGCGCTTTCGGAGTTAATGACAGCTCCCTCTCAAGCAGCCAGATGAATTTGATTGAGGCTGCTACAAAGTCAAAATCAGTTAAGAGATTTATTCCAAGCGGCTTCGCTATAAGCTACCCGAAAGAGTAAGGATCCTGTTGAAGCAAGAAGGATCAATGTTGATATAAAATAGGAGCACCCAAGTCCTTCCTCAACTCAAGGATTACTTCAAAGCAACCGAAGTTCTCCGGGAATCCGGGTTGCAATGGACCGTCTTCGTCAACGGTATTTTTCTGGACTACTTCGGGCCGCCCGAGATGATCTCCTATCTCAAGCCCAACGTGTTCGTAGTCGATCTCGCCAACAATGTTGCGGGAATCCCCGGCGACGGTAACACTCCAGTCACGTTTACCTATACATTCGATCTGGCGAAGTACGTCCTTGCCATATTAAGTCTTGGCGAGTGGCCAGAGGAAAGCCGAGTCATCGGAGATGAAATGACATGGAAGGAATTCGTTGCGCTGGCTGAGGATTTCAAAGGTCTGCAGAACAATCCTATCCTTATACTATGCATGGATTCAGGCTGACAATGTCCAGGGTCGAAATTTGAGATCCACTACGACAGCGTTGAGAAATTAAACCGGTTCGAAATCACTGAATTGCCGGGTCATCGAGCTCTTTATGATAACTTCCCGAAGAAAGCGTTCCAATGGTTTATGTCGATATTTGAGCTCTACACTGCTGATGGGAGCTCGAGTGTACCCAGGGCCGGCTCACTGAACGAACGCTTTCCGGACATACAGCCGCTGACCGTAAGGGAGATGCTGGGACGTTACTGGAGATGAGACGTTGTTGCACCGGACTGCTCTATATTCATAGGACTCTTGGTAGGAGTGAATATTTTACAAATACCAAGAACCAAAAATGCAAATAAAAATATCGCTGGTGGTCACATACCCAACTACGAACCGGCAGGCGTGTGGTTTAACACCCCAACAAGTAACTCCTCAACGGAAGGCATTTTTTCATTTCTTCCCCTTGGAATTGGCATGCTGAAGAATAATGAATATGTTCTTCCATTTCAAATGAGATATCAGGTATATTAGGCATTGTAGTTGATAAATAGACATCCTATGGAAGTTTCGGTAATAGCCGTTGGGGTCCTGCCCGTTGGGGTGATGGGGTTCTGCTATAGTGCAATTCCAGAGATTGAGGTATAGGGGTCCGCTATAACTATATGTTTTTGTTTGCTTAATGAATTAATACGTGCGTGGAAGATCACATATTTGCCTAAAAATGGTTGTGGGGCTAGTGTGTAGTAGATATATTACCCCGCTGTTTTAAAGTACTCCTACCACAATATGACTAGGTCAAATTCTCACTAACTTAGTGGAAGTATTATATAAGTCATACCACTTGTGTTTTGAGTAAGTATTATATAATTCATCTCCGTAGTAGGGGATGTTGAACTTTAATAATGGCCTTAATCACCAGATGAGGTATATAAAGTGCTTTCCATCTCAGTCTTGACAACTTCAACAACTCCTCGATATAGCCTATCACAGTTTAAACCCAGCTCTATTTGAACTTCTACAACATCACAATGCCTTCTCTTGCTCAGACACTCCCCGTTATGGCTGCCCTAGCCGTCGGTTCCGCAAATGCGGCAATGGGCCCTGCTTTTAGCACCGGTCCTGTTTCCGACGACACCTTCATCCGGGAGGCAACTTCCACCCTCGTCCTACCCAAGGCACCTAGCGGATCCTCTGGAGATGCCTCTCTTTGGGTCGGTATGGGCACCTCGAACGGTGACTTGGTCCAGTCCATCGCCGACAACTGGCAGTCTGATGATTGGAATATTTACGCCTACACCCTGTTGAGCACTGGAGGTCCGTTTTTCAACATTAATGCTTCTACTCGTTATGGGAGGGAGAGACGTTGAGCTAATAATTCCTGTAGCCAACACACAGATGCCTGTGCAGGGAGATGCCTCTACCGCTTCTGCTAGTGATCGGGTCACAATGCACTGTATGTAATTGGGGTTAACGAGAACTTGATCCGGAGTACTAAATGCCATGGCAGACAAATTCGACGACAACAGCGGAAACTACACCCAGACTGTTTCCGTTAATGGCAAGACAGTCTCGACACTGTCTACTAGTGACGGCAAAGCCCAGGGCTGGGGCAGCTCTGTGGAGTGTGCTGAAGACAACTGTGGAACTGTTGGTGCCCATTGTAAGTCTATAACATAACAATATTCAACTTCCTTTGTTAGTAGCGGGGCTAATGCACCTATAGCGTGGACCGACACCAAGATTATCTTGGATACCGCCGACTCTAACTACATCAACACCGTGGCAAAGGGTGAAGGAGTTACTGGAGAAATGACGACCAGTGATGATGGCAAGACTTGGACTGTGTCTACAATTGAGATTCCTGAGTTTTCATTCGGACAGTCCTCATGAGGGATAGCGGGGGCTCAATTGATAGAATACTGATATATCATAAAACGATAGTTTCTCTTTGATTGCTCCAGACATTCATCAAGCTCACAATTTACAATAAATGTTTTTCTCAACGCCTAAACTTCCTCATTGGGATGAAACATAGCTTCAAGTAATATGATAATCAATCACCTCTTGCACGATATTCTTGCTTGCGAAGGCACTCCATCACCGCAGTCCTATTGTTATGTTCCGCCTTGTCAAGGGCGAATTCTCTTGCGTCCTTTACCGCTCGACCAACACCCCTGGCGAGAAGAGCGTGCGCCGCATCAAGTTTTTCCAATCCAGCAGCTTCGTGTAGAGGGGTACCGATTCAAAACGCCTTCTGGAGTTTGTAACTCTGGAAACAGTGCTTGTACTTAATTCGATTGACACCGGGATTCTTGTCCAAGATGGACTGTAAGACTTAAGGTGTTCCAGCTGATTTTTCTTTATGGCATAGTTCAGTAGTTGTTCATGTTCAATCGATCCTCTCCTATAAAAGAGATTCTTGGTCTGCAACCAATAGAGGCGTCAGATTTAGGACGCATTTTTTGTTTGGATCTGCGCCACGGTCAAGAAACCAATTGTAAAGCTTCTGCAGTGTTAAAAAGCAAGCAGGTTCTGGGCCGAGAGAAGAGATCTCCCACATGAGTAGAGGTGTACACCAGTTGACACCCGGATTGAGATTATGGCCATGCTCTAGAAAGAGCTTCAAGAGTAGATAATCCTCCGACCTAATGAAATTCTCAACATGAACACTCGACTTGTGGTGGCCTGCTCACGTTGACTGGCTATCACGTGGGATGCAGTTTGCTTTGTTGATGACTACGGCGTTGCCTCCTTACTACCCTCCTCATGTCAATTATACTCGTTGATAGCTACCTAGCTAGAACCAATGAGAAGGATGTCCCATTACCCTAGTTGAGCTCTGTGATATGACTAGGAACACCACAGTTCAGCAGTCAGCGATCAGCAGCAAAAGAAAGATGCGTGGTTATAGAGCATGTAAAGGACTGATATGCTGGCCGACAGAATCCTACAATACTCGCGATTGGGTAGGGGAATTGTGGAAACTTATCTGTCTATGCCCATACACCAACAAAGAAAGCCATTGCAAGGAACGAGGATAAGCGGAGGTGTGTTGGTCTTGGTCGTTAGATAAATGCTGCATACTATTACTTTTTCCTACTGGTGTTCCAGCCATGCGGGTACCTGGACGCAAGTTGTTGATACCTTATATACCTTCTATTCTTATCGAATTCTTGTCGGCTCTTTGGTAAATGCAGAGAGAATTGTCTGCTTCTGAACAGATATGCCGACACGAACCAGATTTAGATATCTCCTTGGCTCACCCGATCCGAGAACGTTCAGTATAAGTTGAATAGGCTCATATGTCCCAGAACAACTGCAGACAAATGCCAGGCCGTTTCTTTGCCATGTGCAGAAGCCCATAGGAGATGGAAGTTGAAAACGGATAGAGAATAGATAAATTGAGATGGAAAACGAATCTTGAATGCTTTTACCCAGTGAATGCCCACGTACTCTACAACAGCTTATACCTCCACGCCATCCCACAAGCCAGCACCATAAACGCCACAAAAACACCCACGATCCCAAAAAACCACGCCAACCCCTTATCCTCCTGCCCGGGAACCTCAACGTTCATCCCAAAAAGGCCCGTGACCAGATGCAATGGCACAAAGATTGTCGCCAAGATCGTAACCTTACTCATCACCTCGTTAATATTCAGACTCAGACGAAGATTCGTCGCGCTTAGCTGTGCGAGGCAGTTTGCTTGTGAGCGGCCCACGATCTCGTCAAAATGTGACAGATTCGACATCGTTGTGATAAGATGGTCTTGTACATCGCCCAGGTACAGGATGAGATCGCCATCTGGGAATACCGGGTGTTTGTCTTTTGCCTGGCAGCGTTTTACGAAGCCGTTGAGGACGTCGAGTTTGCCGTTTAGACAGCGGATGAGATGGGTGATCTTCTTGCGGAGGGTGTCGACGCGGGGGATTAGGGATTTGGCGTCGTCGACGCGCGCGATGAAGACTTGGTCTTCTATTGCTTCAGATTCGCGCGAGGCGGATTGCATGTAGGGAGCGAAGGAGTCGACAATGTCGTCGCTACTTCATTAGCAGGTATATATGTAATGGGAGAGAGGAGCGTACATGAGAGCGTAACAGATCCAGTCACTGGACAGGATAGAGGGATCATAGATCCTTCGCACACGATCCCTTACCCGACGAACATGTCCACACCCACTCGGCGAGAAAGTGACAGTTCCATTCGTAAACACCAGGATATAAAACACAGCTGACGACGGTGTCTTGGATCCATCGGTATACACGTCATCCTCCCTCTCACTGAACGACACCAACGTCTGGAACGAAATCAGATAATAATTCCGGAACACCTCGACCTTTTCCCTCGGTTCGCGGGTCACAATATCCTCCACCGTCAGTGGATGAATTGACAGTTCCTCCGCGACGTCGTTTACATCCTCCTCGGTGGGATCCCGAATGTCCAACCACCATGCTGACCCGGGAGGGTTCTCGATCAGCTTGTTTAGGCCGGTGAGGATGCCCTCCCAGGTTGATGCGGAGGCGACGGGTTGAGTGTGGGAGGAGAGGGTGAAGCGGGACATTTCGATAGCATAGACATTGGACTTCAACCCATAATGCCGTGGTGGTGATTACTCCGGGGCACGGGGGTGTAGTGATGAAAACGGACGAAATTGGTACGCAGTGATGGTTAAATCAGCCCTATGAGGAGTAGGGCTAAGTGCCGAAGATCCGGTATCCGATTCAAAGTTTATTGACAGATAGGCATCAGAATAACAGCGCCATGGGCATTTATAGTACAATGGTCTCATTCCGAGGAGATTCTCTTGTCACCCGTGGGTATTCCTATCAGAGAACTAATCAGCCATGCAAACCAGCTAGCTATGTGTCCAGGATACTCACAATCCGACTTGCGTAATCTCGGATAGAAAAACACGAAAAACACAATCACCGCCAAGAGTACAACCAGGGTTGGCAGAAAGGCAAATGTAAAGAGAAACACACTCAGGCCGAGGGCCGCACTGTGACTGGGGAGGAGACGGCGGGCCATGTTTCGAACAGCGGACTGTGGTTGTAGCCGACACGGGTAGAATAGGTAGTGATGGCCCTTAGGAAAGAGGAGAGTACAACTGGCTGCTCTGTAAAAAACCTGTAATTAATACGGTAATCGGAATGGTGGTGCCTGCAGCGGTTCGGCCCCGGTTGTACCGGTACCATACACCCGTAGGGCAGAAACTGATCGTCCTGATTGGCGGAGCATCTCCGCTTCATGACGCAACTCGCAAGGAGAGGCTTGGCGTTCTTGGCACAGGCAGCAGGATTCCGTTTTAGGAAGCCGCGCTGTATATATTTTCCGGTCACAATGTATACGAGTCTGTATATATGCATGTAGAATGGCCATTATGTGCAGTATGCCCGGTCAGCATCATGTCCCTCTGGTATGTACTTTCCCTGTCCCGTACTCCGTATAGGAACACTGAGCCAGTATGTTGCTTGTAGGCGTCTTATCAAGGCTGCCCTGCGAACCATGGTCGTGCTGATCATCCGTCCGCTGGTGCTGTTTGTGGTGACGGGGGCTTTCATTTCTTTGATTCGCCAGTTGCCCTCTCTTATGTATGAATTGTATGTCTTATGTCTTTCTGATAGCGTGCGGTACGTGACTGCCCCTAACAGTGTAGGATCATGTGGTTTATCTAGAACTATCGAGAACGATTTCCGAATCCGGGCTAGTGAGTGGGGCGCTGAACTGGCAGATGAATAATCAATGTCCAGCTCTAGTCTTTCTCTCTTGCGGGGTTGAATTTTCCAAGGGAAGAGGAACTGGGTGTTGCCAATGTTTAATACCTCCGAATTTCGACGCAATCGTTGTGTTTTGAAAATTTGTCCTGAAAAATGAGGCTCATCAAATACGCCCTGTAGGGCTGAGCTGGCGCGAACCATGGACGCTGATTGGACACAATGATGATGCCTTGATTGACAGTGGCCATAATTATAGAAACACCCCTTTTGATAGCACATACATGGAGTAGTACATATATAAGAACCTATCGGAATCCGAGACACATAAGACAAGCAACTTCGCAAGGAAATGCTCTCTTGCCGTGCATAATGACTTCAGCGCCCCGGTGGACGATCAGTCCGCCTTCAGCCTCATCTCCGTCACCCTCTTCCTCCTCCATCCTTCCCACAACTCAGGACCAGAAATTTCTTCATCCTCCAGAGCCTCTTCCCGTACAGTTGGACAGGCCAATGCCGTTCTTTTCCGGCAAGCGTGATAGCTACGAGGACGACAACCTCGGCATTGATTGGGTTGTCCACTACGTTTTTGACGACGTCGGTACGTCGATCGCATATGGGATTTTCTACAGCACGGTACTGACTCGACCCAGAGTACACACAGGCAATTCGCGAATTCCAAGAACTCATCGATGACCTCCACCAAGCTGGTCTCTGTACGCAAGTCCGCCATGGCCACGGAAACTCGTTGCTCGTCTGCATCAAGGTACCCCGCGACCTTCTGGGGAACATGATCCACAAGTCGAGGTACTTTCTTCCTTCTCTTTCCCTGGTGGTGCATAGAATGCTGACCGGAGCAGAATAAAAGACTTCCTCCACTGCGTCATCAATGAAATCCCCTATGGCGACGAACACACCATTGCTGACGCCGAAACCCCCGCCGAAGAACTCCGATCGGTGTACCACGCCGTGTCCTGGCAAAAATCACTTGGAGGGGCCGGAATAACGCCGGGATTCGGAAAATGGAAGAACGTCGCTTCTGCTTTCCCGCTACATGACCAACCAGCCAACGGAGAACTCTTGCGCAAATGGAGTCGCACCACTACACTGACTGCGGAGGACTTGGATGCCATCCGGGCCTTGTTCGGAGAAAAGGTCGCTTTCTATTTCGCCTTTATCCACTGCTACTCGTGCTTTCTCGTATTCCCGGCTGCTTGGGGTGTGTTTTGCTGGTACTACTTTGGGCCGTATTCCATCACATTCGCCGTTGTCAACTGTCTGTGGTGTATTGTTTTTGTCGAGTTTTGGAAGATCCGTGAGCTCGACCTGAGTATGCGGTGGAACGTCAAAGACGTCGGAACGCTCAAAGTCAACCGCAAGCAATACGTCTGGGACAAGGAAGTCACGGACCCGATCACAGGCCAGGTCAACAAGGTCTTTTCCTCGCGAAAGCAGTTCCTTCGACAGCTGCTCCTTATACCGTTTGCTTCGTCGGCAGCTGTCGCCTTGGGAAGTTTGATTGTCATCACCTTTGCTATGGAAGTGTTCATTTCGGAAGTCTACCACGGATCGCTCAAGATGTATCTCGAATTCCTGCCGACCGTCCTGTTTTCGCTCACGTTGCCCGCCATCACCAACTTCCTCACCCATATCGCCTCGCGATTGACCGAATACGAAAACTACCGCACCCAGGACCAATACGACCTTGCCCAGACACAGAAAACGTTCGTCATGAACTTCATCACCGACTTCCTGCCCACAATCCTGACTGCCTTCGTCTACGTTCCGTTCGGACCCAAGATTGTGCCGTATCTGGACGTCCTTCGCATGACTGGTCTCAAGCAAGGCGCTGTTGAAGAGATCAGTGTTGATACATCCCGACTCCAGCAGGAAGTCATTTCTCTGTCCATGACGGCGCAGGTCGTCAACTTTGGTGAAGAGATCATTCTTCCGTATGTCAAGCGCGTAGCATTGCAAAAATGGCGCGAATACAAACTCAGACGATCCGAGACGAACCGTCACCGCAGTCACTCCACCATGACCGATATGCTACTCATCGATCCTCCCGACGAGCACGCGCTCCTGAACCGGATCCGCAACGAGTCCGAGGCAGATGAGTACAATGTACACGACGACATCCTCGAGATGTGCGTACAATTCGGCTACCTAGCACTCTTCGGAGTAGCATGGCCACTCGTCCCACTTGGCTTCCTCCTAAACAACTGGCTCGAACTACGCGGTGACTTCTTCAAACTAAGTCTCGAATGCCAACGCCCACCCCCAATCCGCGCAGACTCCATCGGCCCATCCCTCCAGGGCCTCGAATTCCTCACCTGGCTCGGCACTCTCTCCACAGCAGCCATCGTCTACCTCTACCGTAACGGCATGCAAAACGTCCGCTTCTCCTACCTCCTCCTAGTAATTCTTATCGCCGAACAAACCTACCTAGCCGCCCACTTCGCCATCCGCATCGGCCTCGAAAAGCTCTGGTCTAGCACTCTCCGGCTACAAGCCGCCAACCGCTTCCGCGTCCGCAAAGGCTACCTCGAAGCTTTCAATGCCGCCTCCGATCGGTCCTCCCCCTCATCCTCATCCTCCCCCTCCCGGTCCACCCGCATAAAGCCCAAGGTCCGCTTCAACGAGCGCGTAAACGTCTACAGCTCTACAACCGACGACGGTGAAGGAAGCAGCGGTGAATCCGTGTGCACGGAAGAAACCGATCACGGAATTCTGTACAGCTCAGAACGAGAAGCGCAGTTCTGGTCTTGGACGCAGCGCGAAACGGCAGACGCAGGCGTCAAGCTGATTAAGGCGTTGAGTACGGTTAAGCCGGAGGAATTGGATTTGAAGAGGGAGAAGGCGAAGGGGAGTTAACTTCGCATCTGTTTCGCTCTTTGTCTCTCCTTTCTTTTGTTTTTAGATTGCATGGCGTTTGATTTGGTTTTACTTGCATAGCTGGCGGTTTGCTCATATGACACAATAAAATACACGTGTTTTCTGAAGATCTCTTATTGAATTGGATTGGTATCTGGGGTTTGATTCTGTATAACCCGTGTACTTGTATTCCGTCTGGATCTGCCACGTACATCTAGCTGCTGTACTGTAGGTGTCCTGGAATGGATGGCGCGTGGCATATGCAGCTACATCCCTCTACACAGTGTAATGCTACCCTATCACATCCGGAAAGGTTAATGTACATAATCACAGTGCAGAGCATACTGAGTACTGCATTACACTCTTTATGGAAATAGGTTTGCACGAAGTGAATAAAGCAAATAAAGACCATGCAGAAAGACGTCTGTTTTTATTCACTGTTTGTGGCCCGGCATGGAAGATCATTGTTGCATGGCGCTACATGACACTGCAGATGTCTATCTTCTGCGTCTAAAATAGGTTTCTCTTCTCTCCTTAACTCCTTAACTCTACAGCCCGGCTCTACTGTGGACTCTATGAACGAACTATATGAATATCCTACACTACGAGCTTGTCAACATGAGCTGTATAATTTATCCACGCTGAGACAGCAACGATATATATACCTCAGGCCTCTATTAACGGCATCCGGAAGCCACCACATGGGATAACTGCACTTCTCTCCTGTCAGGAGCATATATATCTCAATCCTTGAAAATAAAAGCAACATAAAGGCTCATCGTCTACAGGTGCAATTACAAGTCTAGTCGCTAATTGCGGTCCTCGTCGTTATAGATCATCGAAAATGGGCGCCGCCAAAACAGCACGCTCAACACATCTTTACCCGACTTGGAAATACCGAGGAATCCTGGACATCAACAGGCCTCCACTAGAACCAGGTCGTTGTAGTGGCTGGGTCGCATAGTTGTCATAACAGCACAAATAAATGCACAAAAATTCTTTCATCCAGAGCGCTAGGCTGTTATTGAAGGCTTCATCTAGGCGAGCGGAATTTCTTCAAAAGGACTGCGCGACTCTGTGGATCGCTATACATTATATACACCACAACGGCTTGATAACGGCATTCCGCCTTTGCAATGCTTATGTTCGAAAAGATGAGGTCACAGTTATAGCAGGCTTTTATACGTCTTATGGGTCTCCTGGTAGGATATGTTACGGCTGGTCTGGAAGTATTTCATGACGAGGGATACTTCCCGAGGACGGGGTTGTCTCTGGCTGTCCGGCCAGTTAAGCCGCCGTTGCTGCTGTGGTATCAATGTTGCAAGCAATGCATTATGTGGATTGAACGACAGGCCGATAAGCCAACCAAATTGAGGGCTCTAGAGTAATAGGCACAGCATGGGGAACAGCTAGTTTACAGAACTCGGTTTCTGCAATGCTAATCGGGCGTGAATATCCCACTGACAAGTGTTGTCCATGATTTGTGGGTCTCCTGGAAGCGCGTTCTATTGGTTCCTGCCCTTGACTTGCTATATGGGCTGCGTTTCGGCATCGCATTGCTTTGACTCTTGCTTTCTGTAGCTGCGGTTGCTTCATTTGAGAGGATTGGCAATGCGCGCAAGGTCCTATGTGATCTTAAGCCTATGTGGTCTCAAGGATAAGGTTACAGGACAGATTTACATGTCTGTGCATACATAACCTGAAACTCAACGCATTCCGAGAAATGCACCCTAGGAAAACTGAACCCTCCTCCAGTCAGCGGGCTATATGCCCGATAAATATAAAGTGGTAAGGCATGCTCACTATTCCGATGCTCTGCATACAATTGTAACGCTGACTTTTTAGCTATCTAGAAGATAGCAACAATGAGCACCACCGTGATTTTGTGCCAGAAAACGAAGCCACCAACAGCACATGCTCTCATATACGAGAAATATGGGTCTGACGTATCGTTTTTTAAGGACATACGACGACTATTATACTCTCCTGGGCCTCATGGTATGCGGGAAACTTGGCTCCTCAGCATGGCTAATCCAAAGACTAACATGGTTAAATCTAGACACCTGCCCAAGTATAATCTTCCATGTTTAGAACATGTGATGCGGTTACACCGCGCGTCCAATATCTTTCTTGTCATGTGAGCAGAGACTGGTGGGTATGCTAGTGCATCCTGCCATGGACTGAAACATATGGAGGCAACTCTTATGGTACCTGGACTGACAGAGACCTGTCCTGCCCATCTTCACTATTTTAAATTGAACTGTAGCTGAACCAACCAGTTGTGACGCATGTTCTTTGAAGGGCTGCACTCGAAGCAAACAGAGCAATGCAAGCTATCCTGTAAACCGGACAGATCCCCTCTCAATCTCCAAAGGTCCGGTAAATGCCTTGGCTTACTGCGGCTGTGAATCACGTTATCTGTGTACTTATATGGCAGCGATTGAAGAATTAGCAAAAGCAGGGTACGCTAATTCGTGTAAGTGCTGATTCGCGAACTCATTGGACCACCATGCTACGCCAGAATTAAGCCCAACGAACAAATCTCTTCGATTAGCCCTTATTAATAACCATACAGGAAAATTTCTCTCAATGACTGCTGCCATCCATAATGTGCTCTTAGGTTCGGACTGGGAGCTTGGCTGTCTTCTGGAGCAAACATGTATTGCTCAATGGAACGTTCCAAGCGTGAAATGGTACCATACTAGGGAGCAGATGAACAAAATATGA